ATATATATATATATATATATATATATATATATATATATATATATAACCTCAATATAAACCTCATTGCATAAAACAAGTTCCCGACTAATATTTTAACATTTGCATGACTTATATATGCAATAAAAAATGAATATTGAAGAATGCATTAATCACTACCATTTTCATTCAATGATCTTCTCGTCATTTGAAATTTGTTGTTTGAATTTCAAAACACAGAAAACAATATTTTTCTAATTTCTTGTATTATGCAGCATCGTCACAACGATTTTTTCATCCAGTAATATATTTTTTTATAATTATTTTATCAATTCAATTCATAAAGAAGTATTTCGATAAATTAATTAATAAGTAAATTTTTTACTGAAAATAAATCAAATTCTAACGGCATCAATTTATATTCAAATATCACACTCAAATTATAAGTTTATACAAATGAATAAAAAAAAGATAAAAGATTCCATTTTGATTCTAACAACAAATATATTTTAATATTTATCTTTGAATTCTCTCTAGCATGATAGACTACATGTCATGAGAATTTTTTTATTAATATATAAGAAATATACTATTTAAAAATATACGTGTATACATTTAATAGAAAGTGTTTTATAATTTATTAATTTAATCTAAATCGCGTATATCCTTATATTACATTCTTTTATTATATATCTAAGACAACCATGCTTAGGTTAGATTATATATTCTTCTAGTACATCTCTCTCTTTATTATATGAGACTCAAATATAAAACAAATAGTTAAATCAAAATAACATTGTGCAAATTGATTCACATTTTATACATAACATAAATCATTAATAATTACTAAATAGAATATACTTACGAATAAATTACAATTTTTTAACATATAATGTTGCATAAAAAATATTTTTTATGCCACACATATTTATGTAATAAGTAATTTAAGTGATTTTTGTCCTTAAAATTTACAATTATAATTATCACAATTCACTAAAAAAGAATTTAATCAAAATGGTGGGTGAGGGTAATATTCACTAGATTAAATTTGAATCATATTACTGTCAATGTAATATTTATGGATAAAAAATAAAATAAATTCAATAAAATTATTTGATTTGATATCTCATTTATGTACATTAAAGTCAATACACAATATGCTTTTAAAATGTATAAAATATGAATAATTTGATTTTTTTTATTATTGTTCAAATTTCACAAGATTCAATACAAATAGTTTCAGTAATATATAAATATAATTTAAATGCTGAATGGGTAAAAATAACAATTTAAATAAAATATTTGAAGTGTACTAATAAATGTAATTTGTATTTGTGTAAGTTAATCATTCCCTCTGTGTTTGTGTTTTGGTGATAAAGTAGGTCAAAGGTCCAAACAAGTGTGTGTTTAGGAGCTTCCCTTAGTATACTCTTAAGCTAAGTATGCGAATGGAATTAATCAAGGGAGTTGAGGGGCTTATTGGGTCACACGCGATTTATAAGCTAATCGGCGCAAAGGAGAACCAGTCTTAACAATAATCATTCATCTTTGAGAAACTCCTATAAAGAAAAATCTTAATTAGACTAACGATTAAACCCCATTGTTAAGAATGAAGGATTCAACACTGTTCCGGCCAAAGGGTGGATTAGGATTTTTTCCTAGGTTAAGCCTTAGAGCCAGAACATTCAAAAGTGTAATCTACCGTCTTAATTCTAGGATTTTAGGTTTTATATTTTTCTGTTCATGGGCCTCTTGGGCCTTGTGAGCGCGAAGATTTCCATAATGATTTTCCTTGAGAATATTTGATTATCAAAGATAGGTTTTTCTTCCTTGATTCTTGGACCAGTCCAAGGGATGAGACCCACTCAGACTTTGGCCGACCATACCCTGGCCGAGCTCACCATGACCGAGCACACCCAGGTCGATCTCACCATGGCCGAGCACACCCTGGCTGATCTCACCATGACCGACCACACCCTGGCCGAGCTCGTCCAGGGGGTGGGTGAGATCGCGGTCTGACTGATCTTACCCATGCGAGAGGTTAGATCGTCTACTGACCGAGAAGACCCATATTCAAGAATCATCGGATCAAATCCTGTAAGGAGTATCAGATCGGGATCCGACTAGGACGGTAAAAACACGATTCCCAATTTGAAGTGTAGGCAACTATAAACTGAGCTTTATGCTTCTAACGAGTCCCCACAAGAAGTTTGCTTAGACTCATAATGAAGGAACCATTAGAGTAGAATTTAACTATCCTTGAGATGGAGCATGCCATTTAAAAAAGGAATTGAAGAGCTTGCACAAGATGAAATGGACATTGCAACGAATGAGAGATGTTACACACCTGGGCCATAATTTTGTGACAAACAGAAAGTGGAGGGATGGGTTTATTCGCAAACAAGACATCTGGCCTCAATAGTCAATATTCACTATCCTCTTCTTATGAAATTCATTTGTCGGCAAAACATTATTAAATGCTTTCCATAAGGTAAATTTAATTCTTTGATGCACTTACCACTTCTAAATGAACATCCACTGAGTTAAAGAGTGTAGCTGAACATTGTGAGAAATCTGGTTTAGCATTCCATAAGCTGAAGAGACGGAAATTAATTCTCATCATTTGTATTATGAGTAAAATAATATATAAAAGTGGAAGATAAAGTTTCACATTAAGCCAAACAAACAAGTGATGATGAGATCAGGCATGAAAATGGGTAAGATAGGCCTCAGCCATGATATGACCCAACTGAACTTGAGCCTCGGTTGTAAGGTGAAGATTATCTTTCTGCAGTTGCAATCCCTTAGCGTCCACGCAAATCACATTCGGAAGATCAATCGCTTTTTGTGCCTCTCTCACTTTCTCCATGTACTCAGACCCAGAGGCTAATGCCACCTACACATAGGTCAATATAACTTGTACAAATTAATTCATTTAAGTCATCCTCAAATATACAATCTCATACTTAGGGATGGCAATGGGGCCCCATGGGGGCGGGTAATAGTAAACCCATCCCCGCCCCGCTGAATGAAAATTGGCCCCATACCCACCCCATATCTGCGCGGGTATCCATGAATTTCTTGAATACCCACGGATATCCTCGGATATCCATAGATATTTATAAAATTATTAAAAAAATTTAAAAAATTATATTACAAATAATTTTATGTTTATATTTTAATGTCATTGAAATATTAAAAATAACAATTCAATGTTAATTTTGAACTTTTTTTAACGTTAATTTTGTTGAAATAATAATAAAAATACAAGATAATCAATGACTTAAAATACATCAATCTCATAAGTAAGTTAAAGTCTCATCACAAAGCTACAATAATTCAATCTCATAATTCCAAATGAAAGTAAACAACTTAAAATACATAAATCTTATTAGTTTAATCAAAGCTAGAAAATTAATCAAATTACATCCAACATAATTCTATAAGATGAGAGAGTGTAATTTTAGGGTTATGTGGTACAAGGATAATTAAGATATTTAATAAATAATATCAAATGGGTACCCGCGGGTATGGATATCATCATACCTACCCCCGCCCCATTTATAAACGGGTAAAAAATTATCCGTCCTCATTATCCGCGGGTACCCAGTTAATCTATCCATTTATTATCCGTAGCGGATTTTA